AACTGTGATTTGGTCCTGCCTCCACCATTTGCAGTTGGAGTTTAACATCCCAGGTGCTGCCAGGGGTCATCACCTTAGCTGACAAGCCAGCCCACCTCAGCCTGGTGGTGGAGTCTCCTGAACTGAATGCAGGGCTGGCTGCTTTCTGCTATGGGACAGCCCCATAGAAAAGTGGCTTCCACAGTACGACTGCAATATTTAAAACAGACGTGGGTCATTGCTGGACCTAACTCCCCTCAGTCCAGCCAGCCTGGACAATGGTCAGGGATAGGATGTGGTCCTGCAATAATTGGAGGGCTACAGATTCCCCACCCCTGATTTAAAGAGTGTTACTGATTCAGTCATTTTGCATGCCTCTGAATATATAAAGAGGAGACCACTGGGCAGGAGACAGAGCTAGAGGCATAATTGTTTCATTTGACTTTGTGGGTGGTTTTTCTAATACGTAAAAACTGGAATCATGAGACTCTGTTTCCTTTGTTGAATGCTTTTCTTTGTGAAAGAAAAGTACAACATAAAACCATGGAACAGGGTGGTTATTATGAATTTGTGGAATCTGAAAAGCAATTATTCACATGCATATAAAAGAAGCAGATGGACTCCAAAGTATTTTTATTATTTAGTTGGAAGCAGCATGCTCCAACAGGATTTCCACGATCACCAGACATGCCTGCTATTGACACATCTGCATCTCTTACTGTATCATCCAAAAGCATCTTTTTGTTTAGGCCCCCAAGGGATGGAATATAGAGAACAATGAAGAGCAAGTGACTTTGTGCCACTGAACCCAGGCACATCGCAGGATCACTGGCTGGCTTTGGCTGTAAGGAAGACCACAGAAGGATTGTTTTATTATCTTCATTCACACCAGATGTTGCTGTGAATGCTAATGAAGGGCAGCTGCAGTAAGTTAAAGAAAACAGGAGAGAAAGCAGAAGGTAAGGGAAAGTAAATTCCCCATCTCAGTGGAGGCTCTTTCCAGCACTAGACAAACTAACTGCTGCAAAACTGCCATTTGTTGGGGGCTGGGGGAATAGAGCTGGGTCCAGGGATTAGCCGATGCCTCACTGCAGGAATGAATTATGCCCACTGCCTTGAATGAGGTGTGGTGTGACCCCCCTCTTAGTGGACTGGGAGAGTTGAAAATAATCTGGCAAACAATGTGCCACTTTGGTATCAGATAGTACATGGGTAGACAAGTCTAAAAATCCCAGGGCACAAATTTTCACAGCCCTCTAGCGGCTATGGTGGCTCATTGACCAGAAGTAATGTATTTAGCATTAGTGTATGCTCGATTCTGACCAAACTAAGCCTCCTAGAGCAAAATATACATCCGGAGTAAAGCCCCCACCCCACTCCAAACTATCATAAATTTCCCCCAAAGCTGTGGATCTCTTAGTAGTGGATAGATATTGTTGTTTCCATTGCTAAGAGCTGGGAGAAAAGCTGCAACCATATTTTTCCTTCCGTGAAATTTCAAGGCCAATGTGGCCAATTCTGCAATGTGGAACTAATTGGCACTGTCATGGCTCCCACATCACCATCATAAAATGAATGCTCAGAGTGAGACCCTATGCAGTGTACAGCCCTGCTATTTCACATGCGGCAACTGGCAAACACCATTTAAAGCTGCTGATAATAAGAACACTTGCAGGTTTTTTTAATACATATGTTTAAGCAAAAGCACAAGCTCATTTCTGCTATTGCAGAGTACTGTGTTCAAATGTGTGTCATTAAGGTTCCAGCAGTGATCCTTGGTGTGAGAAAAAGAGGCTCTAAAAATATGACAACATTTTAATCTGTGAAATACTGGTGAGTTTGAAGATCTGTAAGCAAAAAAGTATAAAAATTTACAATGCCAGCTGTGGGATCAAGACCTGAAAAAGTTCTCATCCTGTCAGTTGATATTCAGAGTAACCAAAAATGAAAGAAAGATGTGTGTGTGACTTTCTTCTGCAACTTGCTATGTGAAGTGTCATTCTGGCCTTTGGAATGGATTTAGATCACAACAACCACGTCTCTCCCCTTATTAGTATTTTACGGAGTTCACTTAACTTTTCCAGCAGGATACACAAGCTTTTGATTAATAAAAAGATTATCCATGTGTTACTTTTAAAGTATGGCAGCCCATGTGGTGTAGAGTTTTGCAGCTGTAATAGAAACATACTGAAATTGACAAAACTAAATTATATAATGGCTAGATGAAAGCTGTGATCTGAATCGCTGAAGAGGATTTCCAATCTACTTAATTATCTCTCAACAAAAGCTCACATCACAGCAATAAAACATCTTCACTGAACCGATCCCTACCCAACATTGCAAGACATTGGGTGGGGGGTTGTTTTAAAAAGCAGTTTATAAAACAGTTGATGCAAACTCTCAAAAATAAAAGCAGCAAAATAAATATGAGTTTTCATAGATTAAAGGCTAGCAGGAGGACCCAGGTTAATCAATTGCATCTTCAGACTCACAAATTTCCCCCCTAAAATAAATTCACACATGGCTCAAATTTTGGCTTGGTTTTTGGCAGAATTTAGGCCACAACTTTATTGATTACAGAAAGTGATTGGTTGCATAGGCTCTGGGTTGACTAGCTCCCTGCCATGCAGGTAGCGCTGACCCAGGGTTCCAGCACAGGTCAGCCAAGGGTGAACACCTGGATAAGTGGAAAGCCGGGAATGGGCTAACTCCAACACTCAAATGTCCCCCTGGACTCAGGCACGGGCACAACTCCAACCCCTCTCAGGGGTTGACCAAACCATTGAGTCCCTGGGTTCCTTTAATGGAATACCTTTCACATAGGGATGGCGAGACCCTATCACCTGAACCAGAGCCTATCTGCCACTTGAGCACCCGCGCTCGCTGCCAACCAGTCACTCCTGTAACCAGTCCCTTAACCCCACTGACACAGTAGTCAGCCACAAATCATTCCCAATCACAGACAGATGAACCCCATCAAGCCTGTAAAGGGATGCATCTTGGAAGGTAATGCCCAGGTGACAGATCACCGTCCCGCCCAAGGCCAGAACCTTCTTGGCCACTGCGCTCTGGACGCACTTCCTGGCCCTCTCAGTGGCAGCTGGGCATTGGCTACCTTGCCCCATACGTCACTGCAACAGCTGCGACCAAAAAATCTTGAGTCCAGGAAGAGCTGCCTTCAACTCTTCCAAGTCCTCCTGCACACGGGTCTGGAAACTCAAGCTGGGAGCTTCCGGCAAATCATTCTGGCCCAGCTGCACCACCATCACCACAGGCATACCTTCCACAGACACCTTCACCCACACCGTTGGGAGAAGCTCCTCCTAATGCATTCCTCATCTGGATATCCAGGATATGCACACGTGGTCAGGAAGCCCAAGCCTGCGTCCAATTCCAGACTCTGCCACCCTCTTGCTGGCCCAGTGGACAATGCTGTGCCCGACTATCCAGACATGAAGGGTGGGTGGACGTAGGAATGAACAAAACAACATTAGCAACTGCACCTCAATGCCACTTCCGAACATAACCTTGGTATGCTCTGGATCTCCAGTGGCACAGATCCTTAATCCTGTCAACGGACAGGCCCCAATTCACTGCGGTGGTAGCTGCCCCAATACGGGAGGAATGAGGTGCAAATTCGCTGGCCGACAGGCTGCACGCTGCCAGCGCATTGCACATTACTGCAGCAAATTGATGCCTCCTTAAAAGGCACCCATCCTCGTGAACCAGGAAAGGACCATCCCCAGGCGTGTGGAGTGACAAATATTTCTTGGCATCCTTAACTGGACAAGGGCCAGGCTCACCAGTGGCAAGCAGCCTCATCAAGGCACCTCTGCCCAACTGGTCCATTTTGGAATTCCAAATGGTTAGGACCAACTCAGCATCAAACAGCTGAACATCCTGCAAAAGCAAGCCCCTGGGATTCCTTCCCTGCACTGACTCCACCACCACTTCGCCCACATGCAGTGCACCGAAAAAGGCAATTGAAAATGCTGCCGTAAAGAGTCTCGCCTCAAAATTAGACCAACAAATTGATCTCAGGGTGCTGTGCATAGCGCACAAAATGTCAAATGTGATGGGCCTCCTACCTGGTGACTTAGGTGTATGTAACCTGGCCCAGCTTTTGAGAGCCTTGCGCACCACAAATTTTGCACAAGGGTCTCGAGAATAAAGATACTTACAGAAAAAGGAAATGGCAGAAGACTGAATTTAAATGGACTTCACAGCACAACCCATAAAACACAGGTGAGCCAAATACTACAACACCTGATGTATGAATGGCGAGTTTGTACTTGTCAAATGCTGCGACCAAAACTCTAAAAAGTCCACCCAGGCCTTCTTATAAGACCTCAATGTGGAAGGAGAAACAGATGCTATTACTCCCTGTAGGACTATCTTTTGCCAAGATTCCAAAGCTGCTCCGGGAAATATTCCAGAGGCTGCTGGGCCTCTGGAGCCAGGGATCTGACTTGCTCCATCTAAAAATGGGATAAGGCAACGTCATTATTAGCGCCAGGAATAAAACAGGCAGAAAATACAATATTAAACCTGAGGCACCGCAGTACAAACATGTGCAAGAGGGCAGAGACTCTGCTGGAGCAGGATGACTGCTTTGCCAAAACGCTCACCACGGCCTGGTTATCAGACCAGAAACAGACGCGCCTGTCCTTGAACTTCGTGGTCCAGATGTGCACTGCCACTACGATGGGGAAAAACTCAAGAAAGGTTAAATCACGGGTAATAGCTGTATCCTGCAATTGCTCAGGCCACCTCTGAGTGCACCAATGGCCACGGAAATAGAGCCCCAAACCCAAAGAACCAGTGGCGTCCTAATGGACCTGGAAATCAAATTGCAGATTCAAGGTAGCCTGCCACAAGGATTTGCCATTGAACTCCTTAAGGAATTCAAGCCACATTTCTAGGTCTGCCCTGACCTCGCTGGGCAACCGGACCCGGTGATGGGGTGATTGCAGGCCAGCTGAAAGTCTCGCCAAGCATGCACAAAAGGGGAGACAAGACAAATATGTGGGATAACTGAAATCCAGTTAAGGGGACTCAAGTTCCACTGCAGTTTATGATGCTTAGATGTGTCAGTAGACCTCAGTCCTTAAAGTGCATTGAGACTGCGAAATGTTAACCTGTACTTTTTTTTTTAATCGTTGTAATAGAACGAACAAATTTCAACTACTTGGGAGCCAGCTTAGATGTTTCTTCGTGCACTGATACCAAGCCATCTTCACATCTCTTCCATGCTTCGCTTGATGGCCTCTTGAAAAGCTGCATCTTCCTCTGCATCATTTTGGTCCTTCGTTACTTCTGAAACCTGCTCCACTGCCATTCGAGTATCTACCACTTCATTTTCTTTGGCTGTATCTGAAATGCTGTTCAATAAGGCATACATCATATCGGCATCAAGCTTATGAGGATCTAGAATGCGAGTTGTCCGCTGAGTCATCTTAAGCTGATCCTCAAGCTCTAGAAAGCTTTTGTCTCCCGAAAGAATAGTGAAAGGAATATGCTTTGGTAGATGCTCATCTAGGCGGCCCACATGCACACAGATTGCAAAGTCAGCAGCCTCTCTCCTTGTACCACAGTGTGGATGGAGGAAGAAACACCCAATCTTGTTAAGGTAGTTAAAAATCTTGCAGTTCACAGGTGGCTTCCAGTTGTTGTGCCCACCTTGAAAACCCCAGATAAAAGTTCCTTGGTTAAGGGTAGCAGGCAACTGATGGAAAAGGTTTCCCCAGTTATCCAAATCCATCATAATAATATGAGTCATGGTACACAAGTAATCAAGATCAGGTAGATCTCTGTCATCTAGACCAAGCCCTTCAGAAGATGGCTTCTTAACTTGCTCCTTGGGTAGCTCTCCTGGCCGCCAGGAGTGACCACCCTGCACACGAAATTCAAGTGGCCCCAAAGGGACTGAATCTGCCGCAAGGTAACTTTTTCCCATGGCAAAAATTCCATAATAATATCACGCAAAGCCATCAACTTTACTTCAGGCAGAGCAGAAGTTAATGCCACAGTATCCAGCTGAATCCCGAGGCAAGACAACCTTGTGACTGGGCCTTCGGTTTTATCAGTCACTAAGGGAACCCCTAACTCCTCAGTTAGGTCATTAAAAGCCTGCAAAAAGAGCAGGCATTTGTCCGAATCGGCTGCAGAACTTAATAAAAAATCATCGAGATAATGGGTCATGCCCCTAAAACCTGTCTTAGTACACAAAGCCCAGTCCAAAAATGTACTGAAGGCATTTCCTTAACCTCATAATAAGCTCCATCCAGCTTATTATTCAGTTGCTGGAACCCCAGCAACTGAAAATCATGTGGATGAACAGGAAGTAAGCGGAAGGCAGCTTCTACATTGCACTTTGCCAAAAGTGCACCCTTCCCAAAGCTCCTGATCAACTTGACTGCTTGGTCAAAGTTGGCATACTTACCAGAACACAACTCAGGAGGAATAGCATCATTTACAGATGAACCCTGTGGGTAAGATAAATTGTGAATTAAGCGAAATTCACCTGGGGCCTTCTTGGGCACCACACCCAATGGAGAAAGGTGCAAATCTGGGTAAGAAGGGTGCGCAAATGGGCCAGCCATCCTACCCAAAGCCAGTTCCTTCCTGATCTTTCTCCTAGCGACATCAGGCAACTCCCTGACAGATTTTTGATTTTCAACTTTGGCAGCCCAGGGCAGGAACACCACTGGTATATGAAAGCCTTGAGAAAATCCAAACCACAAATAGGAAGCAGAGGCTGTTTCAGGATACCTGTGCAGCCATGCCCTCAAGGCGGGCAACTTAATGGGAGTATAAGCTAGGGTCAATAAGACCTCACTTAACATTGCAGGCGCTGGAGGAGAGGATCCTTTCTGATCCTGCTGAGAACCTCTCCTTGCCGTAGCCCCATGGGGCGAAAGGCCCTCTCAGTAAGGGAAAGGTCAAGGACAGGGAGGATTAACTTAAAAATTAAAATTAGGAAAAGGAAGAGGGTGAAAGGAATTAAAAGAAGGAATAACAGAAAGATATCACCAGGAAGATCCGTCGAAGGTAAAACGCTTTCTCTCTCTCTCTCTCTTGGCTTGCAGAGGACACACTGTTGGTGTTCTGAATGCATGCGCCGAAAGAGGAAGCTCTGGGTCACGTGCATGGCCATAAATAGGTCCCTCAAATTGTTTGGACTGTGTCCCATTGATCAGATTGCACCGAGCTTCGAGGGACCTACCAATCAGGTGTTGTGGCTGACCAATCGTACCCACCCACAACAGAGGGTGTCGGTTGTCCAGGTCTCACCGCAATATGTGCCCTCTTTAAGGGAGGACCCATATGCAACATCAAAGGACTCGGGATAATTAATTCCTTTGCACTCAATAGAAGTGCTATCATTATTTATTTGTGTTTATGTTGTGTTCTGCTACTTGCAAATGACAGTTTATTGTGGGATTATCAGTGCTTTTTCTAAAAAAAAAAGTGTTTAGGGGAACTCTCATTTTCCTACTCATATTGAAATACTGCACCTCAATGAGGCCAAACTTAGATTCACAAAATGTTTAGAGGTATGCGTACCCTTGCGTCCCCCCAGAAAAAAAGCACTGTGGATTATTAATTGAATTCCCACAGTGAATTTCTATAGTAGCCGTCCTCTGTTAGGAAAGGGTTGTGCTGAGTGCTAAAACAGGTCCCAGGAGGGGGTTGTGGTGGGTCCCTGCAGCTGAGAAGAGGGGAGATGGAAATAGATGCCTTTGTTTTTGAAAAACAGCACACACACCAAAAATAATAATAATAATAAAATATCCAAACTACTGAATGTTGAGGTTTTTTGCCAGGGAGCTCAAGCAGGAGAGAGAGGCACAGGCTGAAACCTTTGGAGCTGATAGTTGAAAGAAAGAAAGAAAGTGACTTGTTCATTGCTTCCATGAGCCTGCGGGCTAATTTGGGGTGGGAGGGGGACTGGTCCCACAGGAACTGCATTTATTTCAGTTACAGGTTTGCTATGAAAGAAAGAGAGTTCTACAATACATTATCAAGCGGTGGAGCAGTTCCATGGAGCCAAGCCATGTAAAATGGCGGCAGTGGTTAAGAGGGATTAGATTGAAGGAAGGAAGGAAGGAAGGGTTCATTCTTTTCGTCTTGCCCTTCTCTCCTTCTGGATTTCTTTTTATAGGTCCACACCTAATTCACATTTTAAATTATTACAAATGAACTTTTAGCTGAATTAATGAACCTGAAGCTCCAATGTTTAGTAGCTTATGGGGCTATACCATCTTTTTTGGACATGCTAGTTTTAGTTTCTGTTGTGCACAGCAACAAACAAGGGTTGCAGAAGTAACATCCCTGTCAAGGCAGATGCACCATGATGTCATTTTGGCAGTGGTGTTACATGCCTACTTTCTTTCTGAAGAAACCTACACATGTCACATCTCATCCGTCCCATAGGTATTCTTTGCATTCTGAAAATGCACCTGTGTCTTATGCAATCAGCTTCTCCTCTCTGGTTTCCTTTTCTGTTTCTTTGGGAACATGTATTCTGATATAGTCAATGGGGATGCTAGCAGTGTCTACGGAGGTGCTTTATAGGTATGCTCTTATTTGTCTGGGCATCTCCTGGGTTCTTTAAAGTGGAGCCTCAGATTCCAGGGCAGATGTTCTGCTTTTAATGGAATCACAGTAAAACAACCCAGATGTTCAGCACCATTTACCAACTCTGCAGTGTGCTGAGGTGTATAAAGATCAAATGAGCAGCAGCCAAAGTTTATTGTAATGTTACAATTAGTGTAGGCATGATGATTGACTCTCCAAAGCAACAAAGCAATAGAAAATAAAAAGCATCACTTTAGGAGAGCATTGCAACAGAAGGCATGTGGAATTCCACTTCAAAAACATTGCTTATCTTTTAACAGAAAATGAGACACTAACATGATTAAGAGGTGATAATCTGATTATATGTATTTAATTGTAATCTTTACAATAAACAAGACTGCAACCATACCGTATGTTATCCATAATGTAGTTGTATACCACCCCAATCTCTGAGGGGTATGGGATTTCAGGGGTTCCAGGTGCTTGTCCAGGATTCGGTTTCTTTGGCAAGAAGCCAAAAGCTGTATGGTTAGGCTGTATGGTTTATTAACACATATGCACACCCTCAGCCTACAGGGGAGGGGCTCACAGCACGGACACCCTAAGAAGGTCTTGCTTCTCCCATCGTCACAGCCTTGGATTCCAGCAGAAATCAAGCATGGCTCTCCCTCTCTGACTTCTGCCTGCTTCTAGCTTCCTGCCTAGCTCTCTCACACACCTGATCTGGGCTTTGTCCTTCTCACTACCAGCCAGGTGTCCTCCAGCGCAAAGCAATGACCTTTCTTAAACTAAGGACCCATATTACCAAGAAGCTGGTCTGGCTGCTTCAACAACTGGATCCTCCATTAAATGTTAACCCTTGCTGGATCCAGGGATTGTAAGGGACTTGAGCAAAAAGCCTAACAGATGCCCCCCCCTTCAAACTCACAATAATATGTTGCTGTGCTTAAGAGGTCCAATGAATCTGCAAAATTCTCATCCAGTAGGTAGAACCTGCATTTACATTCAACATCTCATACTCTACCACAATAATCAATTCCTTCCTCAATAGGAGCAATGACACTTATATAATTTACTGAGGAAATCTGGACGTGTACACCTCTGACACCATTTTCACCATTTTCCTGACTGGTAAAGGTAAAGGTAACGGGACCCCTGACCATTAGGTCCAGTCACGGATGGTTCTGGGGTTGCGGCGCTCATCTCGCATTACTGGCTGAGGGAGCCGGCATACAGCTTCCAGGTCATGTGGCCAGCATGACTAAGCCACTTCTGGCAAACCAGAGCAGCACACGGAAACGACTTTTACCTTTCCGCCAGAGCTGTACCTATTTATCTACTTGCACTTTGACGTGCTTTCGAACTGCTAGGTTGGCAGGAGCAGGGACTGAGCAACGGGAGCTCACCCCATTGCAGGGATTCGAACCGCCGACCTTCTGATTGGGAAGTCCAAGGCTCAGTGGTCTAACCCACAGCACCACCCACGTCCCTGTCTGGTACTGCAATCTAAATCCCTTTTGTGTTGGACTCAGGAAGTCAGTGCTGGATTGGGCAGAGGGATAACTCTACCCAGCCATACTTGCCTTCACCAGTTCCAGTTTGCCTGCCAAATGGGTGGGCAAAAGCTCCAAAGTGTGGCATTTTTGGAGAGGGAAAGGGCCGAGCCAGTGCAGGATCCACTAAAGCCCAGTCAGGCCCCACTGCCATTCCATAATGGCATTCAGCCTGATTGCTGCTCCAGGGTGGCACACCTATTTGTCAGGTTGAGGGTATGCCCAGCTACATGTGTTGGACCATTGATGTACCACTGAGACAGCCCCATGGTAATCATGAAGGTAAAAGGTAGGGACGTGGGTGACATTGTGGTCTAAACCACTGAGCCTCTTGAGCTTTCCGATTGGAAACCTTAGCAGTTTGAAAGCACACCAGTGCAAACAGATAAATAGGTACCACTGAGACTGGAAGGTAAACGGCGTTTCCATGTGCTCTGGTTTCTGTCACGGTGTCCCGTTGCACCAGAAGTGGTTTAGTCCTGCTGGCTACATGACCCGCAAAGCTGTCTGGGGACAAATGAAGGCTCCCTCGGCCTTAAGCGAGATGAGCACCTATAGTTGCCTTTGACGGGCATCTGTTAGGCTTTTTGCTCAAGTCCCTTACAATCCCTGGATCCAGCAAGGGTTAACATTTAATGGAGGATCCAGGGGTCCTTTACCTTTACCTTTTTACCTTTAGTCATGAAGGCCATGAAGTCCCAAGGTGAACCATTTGAGGTAAGGATATTGAATTCCCCCA